AGGTGATAGAAGGGATGTGCTATTTCACTGTACCCAGATATCCATAGTCTGCAGAATCCTGTAATGTGTAAGAATCCCCTCAGTTGATTGAGTGTTTGGGGAGGAGAAAGGAGGAGATAGATTTAATACTTTCTTTGCCCAATGCCCTGGTCCCCTCTGACAAGACCAGGCTTAGGTACTTCACTGAAGTCTGACAGAGCTGAACTTCACATTTTGAAACATTATATCCTCTGTTAGCCAGAAAATTAAGAGGAGCCTTACTTCCCTCCTGAGAGATTTCCTCACTTGGAGTGCAGAAAAGAAGGTCATCCATGTATTGCAAAACTTTGACTTGAGGATAAAGGAACTTGGAGAGATCTCTCCATAATGCCTGCCCAAACAAGTGGGGGCTGTCTTGGAATCCCTGAGGTAACACTGTCCAGGTTAACAGGGTGGTTTGGTTAGAGGGATCCTCAAACAAATTTGTTTGCATTGGATCCTCAATGCAAACAAATACTGGGAGTTGGGGTATAATTGTATGCAGAAGATGGCATTCTTTAGGTCCAGGAACCATTTAGTTCCCTCAGGTATTTGAGCTAGCAGGGTATACAGATTGGGAACCATTGGGTGTATTGGAACCACAGCCTCATTAACAAGGAGGTGGTCCTGAACTAGTCTCTATTGCTAGTTGGGTTTTAGTACCCCCAATATTGGGGTATTACAAGAGCTATTGCAGGGTTTGAGTGGGCCCTCCATCTTCAAGTTATCAATGATGACTTCTAGTCCTTTCCTAATCTCTAGTTTCAGGGGATATTGTTTCTGGTTAGGAAAGGAGGTGGGATCGTTAAGATGGAACCAGACTGGTATGGTAGTTGTGGCTCTGCCAATCTTCTCTTGAGTTGCCCAAACTTCTGGGTTAATATTGGCCTCTAGTAGGATTAGACAAAGAGTTTCCCTAGGGGCCATCAGAATGATTGTCCCCATATGGGCCAGAATATCCCTACCCAACAGAGGAGTTGGGCTTTCAGGCATAATTAGAAAAGCTTTGGTGAACAACCCCGCTACAGCTAAGGGGTTGGAAAAAATATTGGGTTAAAGACCTTCCTGAGATGTCCCTCACAGTCATTCTAAGAGAGGAGAGGGGGGCTGGATTCAAGAGAACTGAGAGACCAGCCCCAGTGTCCAAAAGGAAGTCCACTTTCCTCCCTTCAATTTCCATGATTACCCAGGGCACCTGGATGGTAATGGTGGTCTGGACCACGGGAGTCAGGAGAGGAGCCCTGGGACCTGTCAGTCCTGCTGCTGGACCATTTGGAAGACTAGCTCTGGACCTGGTGACCAGCATGCCAGGAACAGTCCACCCTCCAACGGTCCCCATTGCAGATTGGACAGGGTTGAGGTGGCTTCCTCATGCTGCCTGAGCAATTCTTCTTAAAATGCCCTGGTTTGCCACATCTGTAGCAAACAACAAGTGCACCCTGAGAGTTCTGAGGTTTGTGGGCTTGTCTGTTGGCCATTAAAGTCTCTGTTTCTTTCCTGTATTTCCTCTCTCTCTTGTGCCTACCTATCTCTATTATAAAAGACCAAGTGGGTACTTTCAGAAGGTTCTCTAAAGTACTGACTGGTCCCAGGGCCTGTCTTTGTAGCTTCCTTCTGATATCAGGGGCTGCCTGAGTAATAAATTTATCCTTTAGGATTAGTGTCCCTCAACTGAATCAGGGGATAGAGAGGTCTGCTTTACTATAAGGCCTCCCTTGGCCTTTTCAGAAAGGCAGTGGGATTTTCATCGAATCCCTTGTCAATCATGGATAATTTAATATAATTGAGAGACTTGGTCCTGGTCTTATGTAAGCCCACCATTATGCACCTCTGAAAGTGTCTCCTCTTCCAGTCTTCCATTTTTGTCATTGGGATCCCATTTAGGGTAATCTATTGACACTGCTTCTCTTCCAGTTGGATAATGTTTGCCCCCTTCCCTGACACTATATGGGATACTAAGCTCATCCCCAAATTTCTCTGCTGCTTGCAGAGCAGGCTGCTTCTCAATGTCTGTCAAGGTCTGGTTCAAAAGCACCATAACATCTCTCCAGGAGAGATCAAATATTTGGGTGAAATTCTGGAAAGCCTCTGTATATCTGTTGGGGTCATCTTAAAACTTCCCAAAATCCCCCTTAATTCACTTTAAGTCCTGTAGAGAGGAGGGGACCTGGACCTTACTGGGCCCAAATTCACCAGACATTGGTTTAATGGGCAAGAGTGAGGTTGGGGCTTGTGTAGGGTAAGGAATTTTAGGAGGGGGCAAGTGAGAGGCTGAAGCTGAATAGGAAGGTTGGGGTGAACCCAGAGGGGAAGAGCTGGGGGGGCTGGCTTCTCTGCTTGGGGTGCCTCTGGGATTCATATCTTTAGTTTCCTAGGCTTGCCCCTTGCAGTCTTCCCTGAGATGGCAAACAGGAGGACTGGATCAATCCTACACTGTCAGCAAAGGTCTAGATTGCCTTGCAAGGTATAGAAAGCCTACACATGTGGGACCTCAGACCATCTATCCTCATGTGTACAGAAAAAGTCCGACTGCTGGATAGTATTGAAATGTATGGTTCCTTCCTGAGGCCCACCCAGTCCTTCATAATTTGGCCAAACCTTTGTGTAGAGGGCTATGAGGCATTTTTCTTCCCGATTAAGAGGGTCAAAGCAGTCCCATTGGTTCTGGATACACTCCAGAGGGGTATAAGCTGGGGATGGTGAAGAGAGATGGATACCTATTCTGAAAGACAGAGAATAGAGGCATCCCTCATTCCCTTCTTTCTTTCAGTGAAAACTCAGGGTGTGACGGATAGAGAAAGTGAGTGTCCTTCCTTTCTCTTCCATCTTTTTGTTCCTGAGCCCTGGTGACCTTGGCAGGTGCCACTCATGATTACCAATGTGGCATGCACCCATGAAGCAGAAAAGGTCTAGATAACAGGAATTATTTGCCTTCACCTATGCCTCCATCTTCCCCTGCTGTCAACAACCTTTGAGTTCCCTGGGCCTCATTTATGCCATGAAGCATGGCCTCCTTCCATGGGTGGGGATTTAGTGTGCAGGAATTGGTCCTGCCCATTTACATTGTGCCTGATGCCTGGCTTTGGATCCCTCAGATCTGGTTTTCCTTTCTAGGGCCTCAGTCTGAAGTTTGGAATCAAGTGTGGGACTAGAAAGTATTTCAAGAGGCTGCACATATCTGTTTAGATTGTTTCAAATGAGCTCTGCCAAGTGTGCTGGTATCATCCGGCGGGGCCTGCTCCTCTGTTATTTTCCCTTTCAGCAGCAGAGTGCTGGGAGGGGGAACCCTCTTGCTTAGAAAAGGAAAAGAAAAAAACCAAAAACCCAAAACAGTGTAAGGGGAGAGAGGGGAAGGTACTGGGGGAATGTTAGAAACAAATTTTCAATGCCGCTAAAGAAATAGCACTCGAACACAAATTTTCTCAGCAAGGCAAATTTGCTTCTGCAGGAGGGTGTGTCTCGCATGTGGAGCAATGGTGAGAGCACCCAGAATAAAGGAAAGAAGGGGTTTTTATTGTCTCTTAACGCAGCTTGTCCCTGTAACTGTACCGTGCCTCCATTGGCTGGAGTTGGACTGCACAATCTAAGCTGAACCCGGTTGGCTAACTTGAAAAGTGCAGGAATGTGGTTACCCTGGTGGGTAGGCAGGAAGATCAGTTTCAGCAGGAGAAGCCTTTGTGATGGGAGGAGTAATTCACAGAGTGGGTAGCAGATGTTAAATGTGCACTCTATAGATAAGGACTGGTGGGAAGGTTGTTTACCAGGGCCAGGGGAACACAGAGTAAGGAAGTCTGGCCTTGAAAGCAGGGAGCAAAGGACAAGAAAATTTAAGCAAGCTAAACCTTTGAAGAAGAATTTCCTACTGTATTTAACAGGGAGGAACCCCTTGCTCAGTGCAAATTTTTTGCTTTAATCATTGTATCTTTCCCCAGGATCGAACCGGGCTGAACTCCTTGGCCAGAGGAGGGAAAGTTCCATTGGCGTGGCAGCCAAGAAGTGCTGGCTGGCCTTTCCAGCAGGGCCCCTGGCAGGAGCCACTGTTTCTCCCACCCCTTGTGGCCACTGGGCATGGCTTTTGCATGCTGTGGACATTCCTATGTGCCCGAGCCAGGAGGGGAGCTAGTATGAGAAGAGGGGCAGTGTACCATGAGCAACTGCGGCTGTCAGAGGGGATGTGGGCATTGGTGCATTTGAGAAAAAACAAAAACCACATTGTTCTGATTTGCACCTTTGATGGCTAAGCCAAACACTCATTCTGTTTAATAGTATAGCCACAGCCTGTAGCAAAACTCTTAACTTTATAAAGGAAGAAATAAGAGCCATTTCAAACTGTGAAAGAAATAAAGACACCAAGTGAAGTCTGTGGGTCTTGGCCAATGGAGTTCAGTCTTGGGGCCTTCCAGCAAAAATGCCTTTGGTTGTCTGAGGGTTTTACTCCAGTCCAATGTGGCAACCAGACCCCTGTGAAGGGAAACAGAGCAGGAAAGAGAGAGGTGGCAGGGCTCTGGAAAAGATACAGATCTGACAGTTTCACATCTGTACTCCCCCTCGCGATGAATATCCCAGACAGGGCTCCAGCTGAAATGGAAGAGCTCCCTTATCCCTCTTGCAGGACACACAATAGGGGTATGGCTTGCCTGTTCAGTCACCCCACTGCTCAAACCCCCAGGGGAGCATGCAGATGGGCAGGTTACAGAGGCCAGGGTGAGTGCTTTGGGCTTTGGCCCTGTGGTAGTGTCTAGGGGTGGGTGCCTGCAACCCCCCTGTTACAAGCTCTTTCAGCTTTCCTTTCCACAGACATCTTGAGTGTTAATCAGCTCAGTGGACCCTCTGCTGTATCACAAAGGCAGGGGGCCAGTGTGACAGCTTTCTGTAACCTGAGTTCTCACCCCCAGCATCCCAGAAGAATCAGATCACACACGGGCTCAGAAGATGAGTGCAAGGTTTTATTGAGTGGTGAAGGCGGCTCTCAGGGAGATGGATAGGGAACTGGAAGGAGGAATGGAGTGGAAGGTGATCTTCCCCTGGAGTTGGGCCTCCCAGTAGCTGGACTCTTCTCCAATCGCCCCAGTCGAACTCTCCTCAGTGTTCAGCTGTCCCTCCTTTTTTTTCTCTCTCTCTGCCACATCATTTCGCTGTACGTCTGCTTGTCTGCTGGTCTGCTGGTCTGCTTCTGGTGCCTGGGGTTCAGGGTTTATATGAGTGCAGGACAGGGAGTGTGGGGGGCCAAAAGGCAACTTTTTGCTCACAAAAACAGAAATGTCTGTTCCCATTTAGGACCATGGGTCTTCAGGCTTGTGGGTGGGGCCTTTGCTGGGAACCACACTTCTACCCAGTGTTTCCCTGTCTCCTGTCCATATCACCTTCAGTCTTACCTTGCCCACATGGGGAAAGCATCATCTTCCTGGTTTCAGTCATACTGGATGAGGCGGGAGTCCTGCCACAGGGAGCGGGATTCCAAGTGCAATGAGTCTGTGGACTCTGAGGTGGCTTGGCATGGGCGCCCAAGGACTGGCTATGTGAAGAGGATGTCCCTGCAGAGGGAGGAAGCCCAACGTGGAGGGTGAGGCCCCGAGGAGAGTGAGAAAGATACTGAAGGAGAGCGGACTAGCGGGGGCAGTGAAGCCTAAGCAGGGGGAGAAGGCTATGGACACAGCTGAGTGGCCTGGCATGGGCACTCGGAACTCAGCAGGAACTACAGCAATTCTTAGAGCTAAGAGTGACAAATTTGTGTTGGGAGGAGAACCATCTTCTTAACGACATTCTTTAGATTCACTGGTGCCCTGTGCTGGTAAACTGTAGCTGTTTCAACATCAAACACGCATAGTGCCCCCTGCAGCCTGCAGGTGAGTGCTTGGCACTCCCTGACGGCGGGTGGTAGGCCTCATGCACGAGTCCACATTGCTACAAAGCAATTGATGGGCAACAGAGACAGTGTGATGAGGAATGGGATCTTTACAATAGTCCCAAAGTGTGTCCTCACTACATAGTCACTGATTGAAACCAGAAAAAGAACGTATTTATGGTGGCGAAGCGTGACACCCACCACCTTAATTCAATGATCAACACGAACATCATCAGTCTTGGGGCAAACTAAAGTCCCATGCTGCCCGGTAGAATGGGAGGAGCACAGCGGGTGTCTATGGTATTTCTGCCAAAGTTACAGAACCTGAATCTAATTGTGAGCCAATACATCAAAAAAAAAAGAACAACAGCAACGAACCAAAAAATAAACAAAGTGAGAGGCATTCTACACAGTCAGTCTCCTGTGATCTTCACACTGTGTTCAGGTCATGAAGGTGAAGGGAAGACAGAGGGACTTTGTGGGTTTCAGGACACTGGAGAAGCGTGACAAAGGAATATGGCACATGGCTCACAAATGGGTCCTTTGCTATTAAGGACACTATTGGGGCATTGGGTACATTTTGCATAGGGCCTGAAGACTATGTGGAGTTATTGTATCAGTGTTAATTTCTTGATTATGGTTATAATGCGAAAATGTCTTTGCGTGAGAAACACATTAAAGTATTGGGGTGTTGGGGTTTCATGTTGACAATCTCCTCTCATAGGTTCAGGAAAAAATATTTGTACCATGCCTGCAATTCTGTAAATTTGATGTTTCAAGATAATAAAAACAAAAAGGAAACTGAGCCTCAAAATGTTACATAACCTGACCGAGTCCACATGGGTAAAAAGTGACAGCTCTGGGTCAAAACTCAGGTGTGCCTTTTCCCTAAAGCCACGCCCTGCCCTGCCAACCACAAGGCCCTGCACATCCGGGTTGGCCTCTGTTCCTGCTCATCACCTGCAAAACAGCCCTGCCCCCCCCACAGCCGAGTTGCTAGAGCTGCTCCCCATCTGCCCCTGCCCTGCTGTGTCCTGGCTCCCCCATCCCACACCTGGCCCAGCACTCATCTCACCTTGTAGCAGGCAGCACTGGGGCAGCAGAAAGAGTCCATGCTGCAAATTGCACTGGCCAGCTTCCCGCTCCCAGGAGTGGGGTCCATTGGCTGATCTCCTGCTGCCCGGAAGAGCTCCAGACTCCTCAAGGATTTGAGATTCATCAGACCAATTCCAAATAAACCAGGGGAGGTTTTCCTGTCTTGGTTCCCATTGTCACCACTTCCACCGTTGGAGATTCCCTCCTAATCCAGATGCTTGAACCAGGACTAGGACTTCATATATCACTGGGACACTTAGCATAATCACCATTGCAGGTTGCCAGACATCACCCAAAGATAGTTCTGCCAAAGACGGAAAGACAGAAACTGCAGATCTCCCATGACTTTCCAGGTGCTGCCCTGATTCCTCTAGCTGAACCCGCCAGAGCAGAGGGAAGCAGAACTTGAAGCATGTTTGCCTGTCATTCTGCCCATGTGCCCACCAATTCAGCTACAAGCTCCAGGGACATGGGCTAGGGGAGCTTGGGGCTCAGGGCTGAGCCAAGTCACAGGGCAGACAGGTTGGCCTGGATCAACCTGACCACGCTCATCTGGAACAGTGACTTCTTCATTGTCTGAATCTAAACCAGGAACCCAATGGGGCTTCCTTAGTGCCTGTGTAAGGGCTTTCGGCTTTCACTGCTAAGGAGCTTGCTAGGGACAGGGTGGGTGACCTCAGCCACGGGAGGATTTCTCTTCTTACAGACCTGGAGTTCCTCTTTGGCAGGTTCTGTGCTCCCCTCAAGGGTCCTTGGAGATCCTCTAGCCTGAGTGCTCTTGGGGAAATGTGCTGTGTAAACACCATGCCCATTTCCTGCCTAGAGCACAGGTTTTGTGGTAGGGCTCTCAGGGGTGGGAGGAAGCCTGGCAGCCCCCACACCTATAAACGCTGCTGTCTACCTTGCCTTCTGACTTGGAGGCAGAGACCCAGGCAACTGGAGGCTCTGTGTGTGGGTGAGTTTAGCCCCATCCCCTGGGTGTTCTCCAGCTTGAGGATCACAGGCAGACAGGACCAGCCAGCAGCCACAGGCCTGACCAAGGCCCAGGCTGGGAAGAAGGGTGACTCCCCATCCCCTACTGGGAGGTGTTTCACAGCACAGTCAGCATAGGTGACCTGCAAAGATCCTCATGTTTGTTATCTTCTTTGGCCAGATCCATCCCTACAGGGTTCAGCAGGGTCTACAGGAGGAGCAGTGAGAGAACAGACCCCAAAAAGAAAGGGGACTCCATCATGACCACCTTGAAGGGGGCCAGGCTGCAGCCAGACACTTTGCTTTTTCTCCTCAAGTTCACATTCTCTTACTTAGGTTGAGCCAAATGCCCTGGGGAACCTGCAGGGTTTGTCTGATCCCCATCAGCCCTGTGTAACGGACTTCAGGGTTGCTGTGCCCGTGTTCCCACTGCCACCTGTCCCACCTGCTCACCTGGAGGCCCTCTCGCCAGGCCCCTTTCTCCACACTCTCCAGGGATACCAGGGGCTCCAGGCAGCCCATCATTCCCAGGAGCACATGGCATATCTCGCAGGCGACCCATGGGGCCTGCAGAAGAAGAGACATGGATGTGTGGGATCCGTCACCCCACAACTGGTTGGAGCTAGTGAGACTCGACCCTCATTATCACTGGGCTGTCCCAGTTATCCACCTCGTGGGCACTATGAGGACGCAGACTCTCCAGGATGCGCCATCCTAAGGCCCCAGGAGCCCACCAGGTCCCACCAGCTCACCTAATGGCCTCCACAGCCTACGAGCCCTAAGCAGACGGCCTTCTGAAAAGGTGGTCTGTGTCCCTGCAGGGCAGAGGGTTGGG